AAATTTCTTGCAGGGTCATTTTGTGCAGAATCTTGGTGCCATTGGCGACAAAGACACTGAGAATGAAGTGCTTTTATTGGAACACGACGTTCCACATCAGAATTTCTCTTCTGCAGTGCTCAGTTTTCTTCCCAAGATGCCTTGGGGCATTACTGATGAGGTAGGTGATCATGTGACATATTTTCAGTATGAGTTGCTGAATATTCATGAGATAATCAGGATGTGCATATCTTGTAAGCAGTACACCACTACTACTACTGGAGGGTTAATTATTCTTAAACAGAGACTTATGTTTTAGCTTCTGTCTGTTCATCAGACACCATTTCTTTGACATTCTCTGACTGTTTATGTTCAAAATTTGTACAATAGCAAGTTGATCATTTTTTTGCTGAAATGAACTTTGAATAAGTGAAGACTATTTAAGTCCCAATCAACACCAAAAATTTATATTTGAACATGTCATCAACTGTTTCTCTGGCGTGTCTGGACTGATTTCATTCACTCATGGTAGGTTACTGATGAAAAACAATTTGTTTCGTGATCTGATTCAAAATGGCTGACTATGTGTTCTACCGGTTTTGTTTAAATTTTGTACAAAGGTGATACATTGGTTTGCATGTTTGCTTTAGTTATTTTTGAATTTTGATGACATTTAACTGACTGACAGGAATTATGGCAAAACAAAATTAAATCACAAAATTCGAGCATCAACCGAGTTTCTCATACACGCCTTCGGCAAATTTAATCAAATCTGGTGTGGACCATAACATGATGGGTCACTGATACACATGTACATTTGCATATTGATTTGCTTTTCATTTTGATGACCTCTGACCAATTGGTGGCCTTTTCAGTCTCAACAAACCACATTTGAACATGTCATAAACCATTTCTCACCTTGTTCAATTTTCGTAAAACTTGGAAGGAACACCACACATGATGGGTTACTGCTACACATCAGTTTATTTTGTGATTTGTCCAAACATGTCTGAGTGGTGGTCATTTTGCTTTTATTTTCATGTATCCATTGTGTTCTAATTTTGACAGTTGTATTCACTATGATATTAACATCCTGAATACATGAATTTAATTATAAACTGCAACTTTCATTGTTTATAATTGACAGAGTCACTTAAAACTGACAGGGGCTATGCCATTTCTAGCTATTCAACATACCGGTATTACCTCTTGTTTTCACACTTGCTACCAAAAAAGTCATGAAATATCTGCATTGAGAATGACACTGTATTGTATTTACTAATTTCTGTACTATATTCATATCATTCCTATTTCATTTTAGGATGTCAAAGAACGAGAAGATTTACGTCATCTGTGTATTTGTAGCGTGGATCCACCAGGATGTACTGATATTGATGATGCGCTGCATTGTAGAACACTAGATAATGGCAACTTAGAGGCAAGTTTTATCATTACAACATATTTCAAAAGATCGTGTAATCTATGAGTTTCACCTTGTTCTGTTTTAGTACAGTGCCATCTAGTGTCAGATATTGATACATGTATTTATATATCTGTTGTTTTTAGGTTGGTGTTCATATTGCAGATGTTTCTCATTTTATCAAACCTGGAAATGCATTAGATGCAGAGGCGTCCAGTAGAGGAACTACGGTGTACTTGGTGGATAAGGTAGGCATTGAAAAACACAGTGGAAACCTATTCTGACTATTTGTGATTATGCATGATGTTTTTTTTAAAAATAAAATTATGACAAAAAACAGTGACATTCATGTTTTATGTGACATGGGTAACCACCAGAAACATTGATATTTTTGTTCTGTGTCTGAGTCTGAATATTTTAATTTTAGGTTGAAGTGCTGGGTAAAATGAGGCAAATTATCCTTAGATAGCTTGAATATGAATTTTTTTTTCCAACAAAAAATTCTTTCTAGCTATTTGCTTGTATTTATCAAAATATACGATCTAACACGTGACCTTGTACTCATTTAGGGTATCAATCTAAAACCAGCATAAATTATGATTTATACATCAATGGTTTAATTTAAAAATTAATACACTGTGCTGTATTCTGTGTACTCCTGTGACTTATTATTTTGTTTTCTATTTTGGTTTCAGAGGATAGATATGGTACCAGAATTGTTAAGTTCCAATTTGTGTTCATTACGTGGCAATGAAGAGAGATTTGCTTTTTCTGCTATATGGGAAATCACAAATAATGCTGAGATTTTGAAAACTCGGTTTACAAAAAGTATCATCAGATCTAGGGTATGTGACTATTAGATGCTTTTTGCATAGCTAGAATTTATTTGATCACAGAAAGTGATCGATTATATTCTGCCTTTCACAGTAACATAATACTCCTGTAGAATATTTTTATAGTGCTGTACATACTCCCATAGAATATTCTTATTGTGATGTACATACTCCCATAGAATATTCTTAATGATGTACCATACTTTCTCCAATAGAATATGTTTACATTTATTTACACACTCCCATAGAATAATTTCATAGTGATGTACATACTCCCATAGAATATTCTTAATGATGTACCATACTTTCTCCCATAGAATATATTTACATTTATGTACACTCTCCCATAGAATATTTTCATAGTGATGTACATACTCCCATAGAATATTCTTAATGATGTACCATACTTTCTCCCATAGAATATGTTTACATTTATGTACACACTCCCATAGAATATATTCATAGTGATGTACATACTCCCATAGAATATTCTTAATGATGTACCATACTTTCTCCCATAGAATATATTTACATTTATGTACACTCTCCCATAGAATATTTTCATAGTGATGTACATACTCCCATAGAATATTCTTAATGATGTACCATACTTTCTCCCATAGAATATATTTACATTTATGTACACTCTCCCATAGAATATTTTCATAGTGATGTACATAGTCCCATAGAATATTCTTAATGATGTACCATACTTTCTCCCATAGAATATGTTTACATTTATGTACACTCTCCCATAGAATATTTTCATAGTGATGTACATACTCCCATAGAATATTCTTAATGATGTACCATACTTTCTCCCATAGAATATGTTTACATTTATGTACACACTCCCATAGAATATTTTCATAGTGATGTACATACTTCCATAGAATATTCTTAATGATGTACCATACTTTCTTCCATAGAATATATTTACATTTATGTACACACTCCCATAGAATATTCTTATTGTGATGTACATTTATACTTCCATAGAATAATCTTAATGATGTACCGTACTTTCTCCCATAGAATATGTTTACATTTATGTATACACTCCCATAGAATATTTTCATAATGATGTAATACTCCCATAGATTATTCTTAGTGATGTACTTTCTCCCATAGAATATATTTACAGTTATGTACACACTCCCATATAATATTTTCATAGTGATGTACATACTCCCATAGAATAATCTTATTGTGATGTACGTACTTCCATAGATTATTCTTAGTGATGTACTTTCTCCCATAGAATATATTTACAGTTATGTACACACTCCCATATAATATTTTCATAGTGATGTACATACTCCCATAGAATAATCTTATTGTGATGTACGTACTTCCATAGATTATTCTTAGTGATGTACTTTCTCCCATAGAATATATTTACAGTTATGTACACACTCCCATATAATATTTTCATAGTGATGTACATACTCCCATAGAATAATCTTATTGTGATGTACGTACTTCCATAGATTATTCTTAGTGATGTACTTTCTCCCATTTATGTTTACAGTTATGTACATACTCCCATAGAAATAAATCATGAAATATGTTTATATGATACATTCGTACATCTTAATGTACTTAGGAGTGAAACTCTTAACCCTCTGATCATTAGTCTAGAATTGTAGGTTTTCTAACAAATACCTCATACAAAATGTGAAATTCTCTTTTATCTTCCCAGGCAGCTTTGACATATGAACAAGCTCAGTTGAGAATTGATGACTGCACTATGAATGATGATGTCACACTGGGACTACGGCAGCTCAATAAATTAGCCAAGATATTGAAGATGAGAAGAATTGACAAGGGGTAAAACTATTTTCAAATCTATAAATAGTTTTGTACAATTACGCTTATTTGTTAACCCAGAGATGTTTTAGGAAGGAATTTTGAACTATTCTGACCTATGGCCTGAAAAGCTGTATATCATGAAATTTGTCTGATTTCCAAACACATTAACATATGAACACACTTTATAGTTAGTCATTTCTCTTTTTGTTCAATTTTAATAATCGAAATATCTTTACTGTCATCGCCATTTTGTTTCAAACATCCAAACAGTAACATTACCAGCTAAATTGCTGACTGGTTTACCATGTAGTCTCACGATAGTTACATAATTAGAGCTGGTTAGATCAAACTATTTTTAAAGGGAGCGTTGTTGGCTAAATGTGTGCATTTACTAATGTCATACTATACCAGCAACTGTGTCAATTTATATGATTCGATAAAATATATTAAAAGGTAATTGCAACTCCCATTTATATTCAATGTGTACAAGTCCCTCACATGGCATACCATTGAGCAACATACCTGGTGTTTGGAGCAATATTGCAGTGACAGTAACTTTTCTTTGTTTTTGTCTCTTTGGTGTAAACAGCGCATTGACCCTGGCATCAACTGAAGTTCGATTTAGTATGGACAGTGAAACTCATGACCCCATAGATGTTGAAACCAAACAACTCAGGTACATTATCTCACTTATTCACCTACAGTAGACCAACTGATGATGCTATGAGTACTTTTAATGATTTTTATGTTCCTGATCTTTCTATTAGCCATTATTTCATATCTCATATATTAAAGTACATTGACTTTGTTTATGAACATCTCTATGTAGACACAATGTTTTGACCTGGTTGAGGAAATAATTTTCTTGTCAAAACGTCATGATGTTTGTGTTGACATAAAAAATGATTTGTTCTTGTATAATTTGATCTGGTGGATGTATAAACTCAGTTAGTACTTATCTTGGCCTCAGAATTCAAACTGTAAACAATCGTTTTTCAATATTCGTGCACATATCAAACAAAGAATGGCACATGAAAAGGGAGGGACATATGTCATAATTCACTGTAGTAGTCCCATGTCTATTCTCAATATCATTTTGTCCCAATGTTATTTCATCCTTGGTTGAATTTCAAGATTTCACAGAATATGGAGACCATTGTTTCCTGTCTTTTTGAATCAGATCACAAAACAAAATGACATGCATTGGTGAAACATCATGAGTGATGTCAAAAGCTAGTTTCAAATCAGCTCAGGCATGCCTGCGAAATAGTTGATGACATGGTGAAATATTTGGACATGAAATGGCTGTCATTTAGTCAAATGTCAATGAAACAACAAACAAATTGACTTGGAGATATTTACCATTAAGTCTTGACTTTGTACCATTTTTGAACAAAATTGGTTCAGGCATGTCAGAGAAATGACATTGGACAGGTACAGACAGATGCGCATACAGACATACAGGACCAAAAATATAAGTCCCTATTTTGGAATACATCCATAGGAAACGTTACTTGTCATAATGATACCTTCACAAGATGCACAATCTTATAATGTATTTCTCAGGGAGACGAATTCCATGGTGGAAGAGTTCATGTTGTTGGCCAATATCTCCGTAGCAACTAAGATACAGGAAGAATTTCCCCAGTGTGCATTGCTCAGAAGACATCCAGCCCCACCGCCATCAAACTATGAACCACTAATAAAGGCAGGCGAATCAAAGGTGACTACATTACAAAATGGTTATTAGAGTTACATACAATCAACATGTGATATGTTTGTTATTATAATTGTGTTAAGACATCCCATTAGCCAACATTACTGCTTGAAGCCATCATCTATGTTAATACATGTAAATATCTGCAAGTTAATGCAAATTGATTACCGAATAAGAAATATTAACACTAATAGTTTGTTTACAAATTTAAAAACTGGAAATTGGGATTGTGAAATTTCATTCACATGAACACATCAAACCATGCATATTTCTAGTGATAAAAATATCAAGTATATTGAGATAATAATGAGATCTCACAAGAAGATTTGGTGTGCGCATAAATTGAACATATCTTTAACCAATAGTGTACCGGGTACAGAAAGAAAAAGGTTAGAAAGGTTTGATTATGAATAAGAAATGAGCGAGATTATAGCCATACTCAAAAACACAAAACATACATACTACACACAAAAACATTCTTAGAATTTCTAGAAATGTGGGTTTATCTTGCGATTTTGTGATGATCTCTCAATTCAAATGAGATTTTTATCGCATATCACACACTTGCATAGCCTCATTTTATAAATCCATGATATTATATATATCGACAAACTTCACCATC